AGAAACTTTCCCATCCTGTGATGTGAGCTTCCCGAGGGAATCTCTAATCCCCCAGTTGGATGGATCAGATCCCTCCCCAAAGTTCAAACCCATCTTTCATGGATCCAACAAATCTACCACTGAATCTAACCTAGCACCCTCCTCCAGTTCCTACAGTATGTTTGGATATTGTACTTCTGACAAGTGTAATCTTTGCCCAAAAAGAACAAGAGCAAAAGTGGGGGGTTTCTATGCCTGCTTTGTCTCAAAAGATTCCAGCACGAAAAGAAGTGATTTGGTATAACCTCGTTGGTACACGCACATTCGAGAACTAATCTTTGTTTAATAGACAGTGAAAATATATATAAATGTAAAATGTCATTATAAACACGTATATTTAGTATATATACATATTTTTAAACCAATAATGTTTTATGTTATAATTTTACAAAATAAACATATAGATCTTTAAAAGAAATCTTTATTTTACATCCGCATACTTAAACTAATGTTAAAAACATGAAATGATTTGATTTTCTTTTTATTTTCTAATTTGAACTTGGAATAATAAAACATTAAACTTGAGAATACTTGGTCCTACTTTCAGCTTTAATTCTGCTTTACGATCAGGGCATTCTGCACTTATGTATTAAACATAATTTTGCAATAAAACTATATTAAATTGCACATATATTCATGATATTAAACTATATACTACCTTCAACACAGAGAATCTGCAGGCTTGTTTAGAATAATTATTCAAATGGAATCTACAGAGTACAGACTCTTTATACACACAATATATTTTCCAACAAACTGAAATATTTCAGATTTTAATTAATAGAAAATTGTATATTAGGATAAAATACTGAAATTTTACAAAATACAGTTTTTGTATAATATAAAAGGGTAATTATGGAATTTATCAATTTTTCTTTTATAGTCACATTAAAAAATATCATTTTGTCCTTTTTAAAACTCCAAATGCTAGTATCTGTTTGACAACTACCTTGAATTTAATTCTAAATATGAATTTTTCAGTTGATCAATAATATTTTCAATAGTTTAGTTAAAGTTTTACACCAAGTTATGGGGATTTTGACATTTTGTCGAAATTCCCCGAAACTTGAAAATGTTAATACGATATATAGACTAAATATGTAATAACACTGTATAAAATGATTAAAATGACGTGGTAAATTGGTAAACAGGTAAACTGGTAAACTGGTAAACTGGTAAACGTGTAAACTGGTAAACTGGTAAACTGGTAAACAAGTAAACTGGTAAACTGTCAAACAGGTAAACTGGTAAACTGGTAAACTGGTAAACTAGTAAACTGGTAAACTGGTAAACTGATAAACTGGTAAACTGGTAAACTATTAAACTGGTAAAATTGTAAACTAGTAAATTGGTAAACTGGTAAACTTGTAAACTTTTAAACTGGTAAACTGGTTAACTTGTAAACTGATAAACTGGTCAACTGGTAAACTGGTAAACTTGTAAACTGGTAAACTGGTAAACTGGTAAACTGATAAACTGGTAAACTGGTAAACTGGTAAACTTGTAAACTGGTAAACTTGTAAACTGGTAAACTGGTAAACTTTTAAACTGGTAAACTGGTAAACTGGTAAACATGTAAACTGGTAAACTGATAAACTGGTAAACTGGTAAACTGGTAAACTGGTAAACTGGTAAACTGGTAATCTGGTAAACTTGTAAACTGTAAATTAAGGGGAAGTAAAGGAGGTTGATCAAATGAGGGAGAAAAAGGGGCAGGACAAGTTATTGAGAGGGAAAGAAATGGATAAGATAAGGGTAGGACAAGGGTTAGACAAGTTAGACAAGGGTTAGACAAGGGTAAGACAATGGTTAGACAATGGTTAGACAAGGGTTAGACAAGGGTAAGACGAGGGTAAGACGAGGGTAAGACGAGGGTACGACGAGGGTAAGACGAGAGTAAGACGAGGGTAAGACGAGGGTAAGACGAGGGTAAGACAAGGGTAAGACGAGGGTAAAACGAGGGTAATACGAGGGTAAGACGAGGGTAAGACAAGGGTAAGACGAGGGTAAGACAAGGGTAAGACGAGGGGTAAGACGAGGGTAAAACGAGGGTAAGACAAGGGTAAGACAAGGGTATGACAAGGGTAAGACAAGGATAAGACAAGGGTAAGACAAGGGTAAGACGAGGGTAAGACAAGGGTAAGGCAAGGGTAAAACAATGGTAAGACAAGTGTAAGACAAGGATAAGACAAGGGTAAGACAAGGGTAAGACAAGGGTAAGCCAAGGGTAAGACGAGGGTAAGACGAGAGTAAGACAAGGGTAAGTAGAGGGTAAGACAAGGGTAAGTCGACGGTAAGACGGGACGGAGTACCCCCTTATTTCACTAAGGGGGGGGGGGTCAATGAACTGACACCCCCGAAACCACCCAGGCTCCTGGAAAACTACCTTTTTGCACTTCTATGATTAAATTTTCTGGAAAAACATTTATTTCGTGAGGACTAACTAATAAATGGCGGGGGAGACGTACAGACAATTCTACAGCTAGGGTGCTTGCGGTATTTGCATACCACATTCAAAATAACAAAAACGATAGAAAAGTTTTAACCAATAGTTGTTTAAGGATGTTTTTTTGTTTATTAAAAATATATTTATCCAATAAAATTTTGTATAAACTTTCCTTAAAAAATACATTTTTTTCATAATCTCCGGAAATCATTCAATATTCATTTCCAAGAACAATAAGTCAATCTTAAACATTATCTTTATACAACAAGAAACATTATTATTTAAAGAAAATACATTGTTATAATAATATTCTCTTAGTAAAAAAATAATGATGTTTTCTTAACCCTAAACAGGCAGGGGGGGGGGGGGCGTTTGTGCACCCCCATATTTTTTTTTGTCCAAGCACTCTAATTTTGTCACTATCACCGTGAAATTTTGTGACTTTTAATGAATAGTAATTTTAAGGGTAGGGTACAGGGCAGTAACAAATCCGGTCTGTGTAAAAAAAATTAAAACAAAAAAATATCTTATTTTTTTGGCATTTTTTTCAACTTTGCCTTGCTGAACTATGAAAGTTATCGGTCTAATTTTTTCAATAAGCTGGCCTTGAAAAATTGGGCTATGAATATGTATTTCAACCCTATGCCTATTGGGGGGTACACATAGATTCAGACCCCCCAGCCTTTACAGGGTTAAGAGTCTTATCACCTAACCCCCCCCCCCTCCCAACCCAACTTTTAGTAATTTGACATAAATATTATATATGTATAATATCTTTGCACCCCACCCCCTCTCGTCCCTTCCCAGGCTTTTCTTACAGTTCAGCATCCATCATCACCTTAACCCCCTCCCCCACATCCTTCTGGACACATTTTTAAACTTTTCTTTTCAGAATTATAGAATAACACCCCTTGCTAATATTTTTAGAAGGTTTTCATCCCCGGCCTTACGGAGTTTTTGTTAACTTTTCTTTACAGGGTTGTTTATTTTAAACAAAAAAATTGTCTTTTTAATTAAGATGTCCCTGCACTCTCATATCCTAGATCTTTAACCTTGAGTTCTATGAGCTCCTTGAGCCAGCTTTGCTAGATTATTCTTCAATGATTGAATAAATTATGTATTGTATTGTGTAGTGTTGTATAGTGTATACATTTCTCCGCATTTTCTTCATAATAAAGAAAAAAATCTATATTACATTCAAGCGTTCTTTTTTTATGGGATAGTTTTTATTCAGTCGTTGAAAGCCCAATTAAACCAGGCATGATGAAAGTTAGTAAGGTTTATCCAAAATTTTCTGTAATTCAAACATTGTATCATATAAACTCATCTGTCTTTTATACCTTTTCAAAATTAAATGATTTTTCTTTAGGGATATTAAAGCATTTGTGTGTTTCTCTTTAGTCAGATAAATAGCTGGGATTCATTAATAATACTCAATTATCTGGAATTATAACATCAAAAGGGACTTAAATATCATAATTAGAAATTTAGTTGGAAATTATTTTGGTTAAAAATGGCGTACATTCAGTAGACCAAGGTTGTAATGCAAGGAAAGTTATTTCAGTGGTGTGCGCATCTTTTGTACTGCAGTGTACTGTCTCTGGGCTGTAAAGTAAACACGACGGATGTCGAAGCCTGAAATGGGATCCATCTTTCATATAAAATATCAATGAAATATTCTGGTCATAGTAAAATATTATGCTAATTATCAAAATTATCAAAATTTAATGGCTTTCACCTCCTCGGATACTAAACGAACACTGATTCATCTATTCTTGCTTACAAATTCCGCCCAAAGAGAACTGGTTTCAATATGTACGCAGAGTATAGGCAACTGCAATTAACTTTCCTTTCATTACAACCTTGCAGTAGACCATGGACATGATTTAATTCGAGAAAAGGTTGAACTATGTATGCTAAGTTGAACCACTTCTCTTGTTCACATTAACGACTTCAACTTAATCTAATAAGAATTAATTAAATTGTTTGATTAAATACTTAAGGTTGGAACTTTTGTACTGTAAAAGAGACTGTGGGCGTAACTTCAAGTGATCCTTTTCTCTTTGCACTGAGGGTCACAGATTTAGTACTTGGAGATATCTGTAAAGTGCGATGGGAGATTGCGAAAAAAAGTTTCTACTGTATATAAGCGCTATTTATTACATAAGTTTTGACCTTTTCTTCAAAAAAAGTGATGATTATTCTTTAAGGTGCAGTAAATTGGCTTTGTTTACAGATAAATCCCCCCTCCCCTTCCTTCCCCTCCGTTCTAACAAATATTTGACCCTGATATATCTATCCGGAGCACAATATTTAGCTAAATCCCCCCTCCCCTTCCTTCCCCTCCGTTCTAACAAATATTTGACCCTGATATATCTATCCGGAGCACAATATTTAGCTAAATCCCCCCTCCCCTTCCTTCCCCTCCGTTCTAACAAATATTTTACCCTGATATATCTAACCGGAGCACAATATTTAGCTAATCTTGTCAGATTTTAAATTAATTAGAAAAGAGTCTTATCTTTTGTTTTGTTTTACTTTTGTTAATTTCACAAAATTAAAAAATGCTCGACGACGTAAAAACACAAAAAAATTATCTCATAAAAATTTTATACTTTGAAAATCATCTTTCATATTCAGCAGATCAATAACTTTTCATATCCAGCAGATCAATAACTTTTCATATCCAGCAGATCAATAAATTTTCATATCCAGCAGATCAATAACTTTTCATATCCAGCAGATCAATAACTTTTCATATCCAGCAGATCAAAAACTTTTCATGGTTTATCTTCAAAATAAATTTGGAAAGGAAATGCTTATTAAACTCAAATCTTTGCAACCTGATTGACTCATTGACCTAATTGACTTGACATTTTAAACATTTGTACGTTAAAAAGTCAAAGTTTAAAAATATCAAGGGTTGAATATCTGGTTGAAAGATAAAGAGATCAGAAAATTAGAGTTTGAAGCAAGAAATCAGTTTATCTTAGAATTTAAATTTTTCTTAGTTTTGAAGCAACTTCTATCTCTATATCTGCTTAATTGTTATCTATAATGCTTACAATATATGTTTACTATTTGATAATCAGCTGGCAACTCAGAACTGCTCAGTGTACAGATGATATATCATGTTTAAGAAACAACGTAGATATTATGTTGTTAAAGGGAAAAGTTACAATTATGTGATTTTTAAATATGATTTAAAATATGACGATAAAAAAAAATTTATCTCCGATCCACATTCTTTGCATTCGGACCTTACCTTTAATGATTTAATGCTTTGACTAAAAACAAAAGAAACTGAGTCCTTGCCACAAACTAAAATTTTCCAATCCATTATTGTTAAGTTACTAAAGGGCTGTGAATATAAATTAAGACATAAAGTTTGGATTGTTCCTACTTGACTTTGGGTGACTGACGTATTTTTGGTAAGAGATCAAAACAGAGAAGAAAATATGCCGAACAATTAAAAAGATTTGTAAAACAGGCACCGTGAACCTAACAGGATTTGACATTTTTACTCTTTAAAAACCGGCGCTAAAATTAAGGGTTTTAATCTAAAAATGGTAAAATGTCTATAAATAAGTCAGGTAAATTAATGTCCAATGTTTTTATTTTAAGTTTTCCCGGCCTTGAAAATTGTTGCATAATTTTCCGAACAGTCTGGATATTTTTATAGATTAAAAATGCGGATTCTAGGTGTGGAGTTCGCTCCCTTGTCAACACCTTTAGAACGGCGGGTCCAGGTATTACCATTATCTTAAACAAAATGGCAGCACAATTTTTTTCCTCATTTATTGCTATGTCTGCATCAATTTTTGATAATTCTTTTATCAACGAAAATCTAAATAGTTATATAAAAAATTCCTATAAAATTGAAAATCTTATCTGTATTTGATATTTTAAAGGAAATAGTTTCACTAGTAGCTAGAAAATCAACCTATTCAGTGTACAGTGTACAGTGTACAGTGAACAGTGTATAGTGTACAGTGTACAGTGTAAAGTGTACAGTGTACAGTGTACAGTATACAGTGTACAGTGTACACTGTATACTGTACAGTGTACATTGCAAAATTTCCAAGTTTCATGTTTATTAAACTATTTTAAATTAAGATTATCAATCGTCTTCCTGTTCCAATCTTTTTTGGGTACCACTGAAAAAAAATCGAATAATAAATTGTTGAGTAAAACAACAAAAGAATAATTTTTCCTATCCACCCTGTAAATATTTATATTTAAAGCTTGTGGGAGAGGAATAGAAACTTGCAAAATAAATCAAAATCTAATGGTTCCACCCTAACACTCAAACCTCGTGGGGTTCAATACAATGAGAATTTCGAGAATATTTTCCTAATATCCAGCAGTGTGAAGTTTCTCGTAAACAATTCTTGCACTGAGAATTCTGGAATAGTAAGACGACTTTTAGAATTAAGTTATGACTTTGAATAGTCCAATGAAATATAGACACAGCAATTGTGCAGTGTACACAAACCCATTTGAAATAATCTATTTAAACTATTTACTTTGTCAAAACATCAAACACTTAATTATTAAAAAATTGTCGTCTTCCTATTCCACAGTTTTCCGGTTCGTACTGTAAGCGTAGTTTCAAGTGACCGTCCTGGACCGTCCATGCGAAGATTGCAACGGTATCCTTCAAAACCCTTATCAGATCAATAATGTGGGAGATATTGTCACTTTTGTAAAGAAACCACAAATAAAAATAAGCAGTTTTTCAAATTATAAAGAAGTGGATATCTAAGTCATACTTGATCAGACAAAGCTTTTATTGACACCGTTGGATTCAGGCCTCGCCATCTTTGCATGGAGGGTCAAACTACGCCAACAGTCTCTTTAAAGTTATTTATAAGTATAAATGAAGGATTCAATGAAGAAGCTTAATCTTACCAAATATAGTATTTACAATTTTTAAATTGTTTAGAAAGGGTTTAGATATTTGAAACAATTACCACAGAAATATGATTTTAATAACTTTTTGGAGGTGTCACAAAATTATTTTCATTAATAACATTTCTGCTATTTATTTTTCTCGGGGCAGTTCTGATCACAAAAGTACTCTTTAATCCTTTAATTGTCTTATCAAAAATGACCAAAATGTTTCTTTTTTTAGCTATAAATCGATTTTTCAATTGTGGTTTCCATATGCAAGTGACTTATAGATTTATGCTTCAAAGACAATGGAGAAAATAAACTGAATTCAACACAAAGATAGAAAAACCCCATTGGGGGAAACTCGCCACGATTTAGCGCGTTAACCTTAAGCGACCCCCCTCCCCAAGTTTTTTCCCTAGCTCTCTCATTTTTGACACTATTAGCTTGAAATTGTTTTACTTTTCCTAAAAAGTAATTTAAAGGATTTTTTCCATTATTTTTAACGCAGAGGGTAGGGTACAGGACGGTAAAAAGGCCGGTTCGTGTTAAAAACATCTAAAATATAGCCCATAAATTTTTTGTTATTAAAGCTACAGATCTAAAATATCTGACAAAAATAAAAGTAAATTAATTTTACATTTTTCCGACGTTTTTTTCAAACATCTCTAGCACCCAAACTATTAAAGTTAGTGGTCTAATTTATAATAAGCTGGCATTGAAAAATTGGTCTTTGCCCATGCATTGCAACCCTATACCATGGGACGCCCCCAGTATACATAGATCCAGACCCCCCACCCATTATACAGTTAATATTTACTCAAAGGTCGCTGAATATCGAGTTCAGTCGCTGAAGCACATAGCGCTGTCCCATTCAAAAGTTTTACCCTGAGATTTTTTCAATCCATGGTGATGCACTGCCATTTTGTTGCAATCTTCCATAAATATTGTTTTCAATGATAAGAATTTTATTTCCGCTGATTCATATCATAGACATAAATAAAAGTAACTTTTAAATATAATCCAGGAATATTCATTCTTTACTAAAATGTAGAAGTGAAACTCTATTATTGTCAACAAAATGGAATACTCGCCCCTAACTCTAATTTTTTAATTTCTATATCTGTATACCAGAAACTGGAATCCTTTTATATTTCAATTTTAATTCAATTGATGAAGCTGAATTTGTAGTTTAAAATATTGAGGTCTTTGACACTTGGTTGCATACTGGATATTTAGACTGTAGCAGTTCTATACTGGATATTTAGACTGTAGCAGTTCTATACTGGATATTTAGACTGTAGCAGTTCTATACTGGATATTTAGACTGTAGCAGTTCTATACTGGATGTCCACATTTCTGTTTTTTGGACTTGGATTTTCAGTTCTGCTCCTCTACCTTGTTTTATTTACAAGGTTTGAGTTTTTTCTCAGCAGTACAGTTTATAAATAAAAATAAACTATTAAAAATTGATTTAAGATTGGAACTAGTTGCTAGGTTGGAGAATGTAGGTTGGAAGGAGAGAATAGGTTTGAGAGGAGAGAATAGGTTGGGAAGAGAGAATAGGTTTGGGAGGAGAGAATAAGTTTGGGAGGAGAGAATAGGTTGGGAAGCGAGAACAAGTTTGGAACTGAGGATAGGTTTGGGAGGAGAGGATAGGTTGGGAGGAGAGAATAGGTTGGGAAGAAAGTATAGGAGAGGACCGGGTTGGGAGGAAAACATAGAAGAGACCAGGGTTGGGAGGAAAGGATATGTTTGGAGGAGAAGATAGGAGAGGAAAGGGTTGGGAGGAGAGGATAGGTAGGAAGGATAAGATAGGTTAGGAGGAGAAACTAGGTTTAAAGAATATTATCTGTCTAGATTCTGGTGGGTATCTGTTCTTTATATGACCTGGTATATTTACGATCTAGACACGTGTAACAGGTTAAAAAATATAATAATTATTCGAGAATGGTGAAAAAATTTGAAAACGAAAAAAATTTCTTATTGTTTTATATTTTCAAATCGGAGCAAATGTTTTTTGAGTTTATTTGCATAGGTTAATGACTCAGGATATCAAATGATCCTTAAATAAAATTTTTTTAATTTAACTTTCTTCATAACATTACTTGGTTGTCAACAAAGGAATTGAATCTTTACCACAAACTCTGATTTTCTAATCTCTATATCTTTGCAACTCAATATTGTTGACCTAAGATATTTCAAAATATGCATTATAAAAGATCAAATAATAAGTGTGAAATACAAAAGGTTTACACCATAAGTTGCTAAGATCGATTAGAAAATCGGAGTTTGTGGGAAAGACTCAATTTCTAAAAAAAAATTCGTGGATTTATTTTCAACCAAATTTTAAATGAGCAAGATTTTTTCAGAGGCGGGAGACATGGCTGGAGTGTCAGGTTTACTATTTTTTTATCAAGGGCTAGTTAAAGTGCTCGGCGAATCGAATTAAAAAAAATGTACTCGGCCGTTTGGCTTGCCATAGCTAACATATATTAAAACTATACAAATATACAATTATTTGAGGGAAGAGAATTATTATACAGTTGAAATTTTTTGACAAGTTTTTAAACTAGAACGTCCAAATTTAAATCAAGCAAAATTATTTTTTTTACACCAAAGTCTTGAAATATTTTTGAAAATTGATTTTAGAAGATGTTGAAGTTTAAATACTTGTGACCTTTTTTTATTATTTTAATTAATCAATTGTAATTTTTTTTTATTTTCCCGCTAAATATTCAAATATGAACAATACTTTTTTTTTAAATGGACTTTCAGCTGCAAAAATATCTAGTACTTTTTTCTCATTCATTTTATTTCTATAACATAAAGCGATTGCAAAGATTTATATTTATATATATGTTTATATATATGATGTTTTGATAACATTTGATTGCTAAGAATACTTCAAAATTAATAAATATTAATTTTGTGTTCCATCAAAGGAAGTGAGTTTTTGCCACAAACTCTGATTTTCTAATTTCAATATAGTTGCAACCCAATGTCGTAGATCTTTAATATTTCAAACTATGAATTCTGTTAGATATCAAATAATGTAAGTTTGAAATATCAATGGTTTACATCATAAGATTGCAAAGATATAGGTTTTACGAAAACTGAATTTGTGGCAAAGACTCAATTCCTTTATTTCATCTTTCCGACTCGTTCCGACTGAAAGGGTATCTCCAGTTATAGAGTGCCATATCCGATCTACAACAGTATACTAAGATATCCTTATTTTTTATACTTGAAAACTGAGTGCTAAGAAACTCTAGTGTACATTTGCATAAAGTGGAAGCTATTGTAGATTTGTACGCGGTTGGTCTCTATGGAAGCACTATGCCAATTTTTTCCCCATTAAGGTAATAAAGAAATATATTAATTATAAAAAATCCTTCTTCTCCTATACTCCAAAGATGAGATTTTAATAGCTTAAACCCGACTAAAACCCAAACTCGGGCTTAGATAGAACCAAGGTCAGGATTGGTTCTGATTCGACCGATGAGAGACTGTTTTGCAAGCTTTCTCTCTGTAGCAGACATAATGCCGTCAGATCAGCTGTGACAAGGATAGGTAAATTTCGAAAGTAGACACATTACTTTCATAGTATGTTTATATTACAAAATTAATAAAATTGGCGTAGAATAGGGAGGAGCTTCGGCAACAGTGAAATACTCCTACAAGTCATTCCCGAGATTTTAAATGTAGAAATATAAAAGATTTTACAAAATTTAAGATCATCAGCTGCTGTAGACTCAAGCCTTAAAGAGAGAAAAAAACCCGAGACGGTTGGTTCTTACTAAACTCAAGGCCATCCAAAACCCGGGTCTTGACTTGAGCTTTACTTGAGTCTAAGCAGACGAAAAGACCGGGTTTTACTCAGGTTTAAGCTTTTAAGATCCCAGCTCTCAGGTCACGTAAAACTATCTGTAAAGAAGTCCATCCTGTCTACACAAGAATATTTTGATTTCTCACTTCTAACCCGTCAAAAATAGCGTAAGCGATCATATGTTCCTAAATATTTGAAGTACAGAGCCCAACAAATAAGTATAAACTAAAAATATATAAAATCTACATAAATGTGTAAAAAGGGTTCTAAAATTCAGACTCACTGAACTTTTAAATAGGACCTCTAGTTTACCGTGATGTAGAAAGGAGAAGGTAGGGGTTTCTTGGAAATATCTGGAAACTTCTCTTCTTTGGAAAACCAAAAACAATATGGCAATTCAAACTATGTCTGAAATTTTATTGAAGATGACTTGAAACTAATTTTAAATGATTTCTAAAATGTTTTGGTTCGACTACATAACCAAATAAATAATGACTAAATACAGTGCATGGTAATAAGAAAAAATGGAATAACGTCAGTTTGACATCGAAGTTTTCGCTCAAAATGGGTTTTAATTATAGGCCTGCACAAAATTGATAAGTGGGAGGGTCTGGGACAGAACTTGTAAACTAGAACGGACGTATTCACTGTAATTATCACTGTATCTCCATTCAAAAAGTTTTTTAGAAACTAACACACATGTTTCAGGCTTGAACCGTTTTAAACCAGATATGACGTCAAATTCAAATGACGTGAAAGTTGAGGGGGTGTGAAGTTCAAATAATTTAAAAAAATTTTAATTTATTATATATCTGTCAGATTATTTAGAAATTTATGGAATTTTTTTTTATTAAATCTACAAATTATACAAACCCCCTTTTTCAGATTCCATATCGTGGGAAATGCCACAAAAACTGTTGAATTATGAAATTTATATGAATTCTTTAGCTTGTTGACTTCGCAATCAAATCAGTGGAAAAATAAAGAAACTTTATTTTGTCAGTGTCTTAAAAGCATTTGCACATTTTTTTTGGCCCCCCCCCCTCTTATCAATTTTGATCATGGATCTTACAGAAAGTGTCTTAACTTAACCTAACTCGTGGCTGCAGCACTCGGCCCCCTACCCTATCCTAGTCGCAGCGCTCGGCCCAGAAAGTGTCTTAAACTAGCCTAACCTTAACTAATAAGGTATATTCCTAGAGGCTAGTGTCGCCCAACTCACAGAGCATTGCATTTTTGCCACAGCTATTTACGATGTTGTTGTACACTTGACGGTACTGCATGTTGCTTGGCTCGCTCCGGGGTTTTGATGCTAGTATATAATAAGATAATGAGAGGTTCCAGTCGGCTTGCTTTACATACGTAAACCTGGGGGTTGCCAGGTGCAATTATACACAGGGGACAGGCGGGTCTCATTGAACTCGCCCAGCCCAGAGTTTTCAAGGAATCAGGCTAAGACTTGGTGGGTACCCTCTCCATTCCCATGGCTAGCTTGTATTAAAATTTGGTCAGGCGCCCAGCAGTGCATGTGGTCCAGGTTCCAGTCGGATTCTTTACATACGTAAACCTGGGGGTTGTGGGGTGCACTTTTACACAGGCGCTTAAGCAAGACTGTCGCACTGGCCCTGCCTAGAGTTTTCAAGGAATCAGGCTAAGACTTGGTGGGTACCCTCTTCATTCCCATGGCTAGCTTGTATTAAAATTTGGTGAGGCGCCCAGCAGTGCAAGTGGTCCAGGTTCCAGTCGGATTGCTTTACATACGTAAACCTGGGGGTTGCCGGGTGCAATTATACACAGGGGACAGGCAGGTCTCATTGCACTTGCCCAGCCTAGAGTTATCAAGGGATTAGGCTAAGACTTTGTGGGTATCCTCTCCTTTCCCATGGCTAGCTTGTATTAAAATTTGGTGAGGCGCCCAGCAGTGCAAGTGGTCCGCCCCAGCTGCTAAAGCTGAAAATCCGAACATTTTTGGCAACTGTCGCACACGCCCATACATAGTTTTCAAGGGATCAGGCTAAGACTTGGTGGGTACCCTCTCCATTCCCATGGCTAGCTTGTATTAAAATTTGGTGAGGCTACCAGCAGTGCAAGTGGTCCAGGTTCCAGTCGGATTGCTTTACACACGTAAATCTGGGGGTTGTGGGGTGCACTTATACACAGGCGCTTAAGCAAGACTGTCACACTGGCCCTGCCTATAGTTTTCAAGGAATCAGGCTAAAACTCGGTGGGTACCCTCTCCATTCCCATGGCTAGCTTGTATTAACTTTAGGTGAGGCGCCCACCAGTGCAAGTGGTCCGACCCAGCCGCTAAAGCTGAAAATTCGAACATTTTTGGCAACAGTATTCATGCACCCAGCCTAGAGTTCGGGCTAAAGCATGGAGACTGGTTGACTTTTTACATTGCAACACGCAACTGGCACAAATTGGAGACAAAATTGGCAGATTTTTTTAACCCAGGGACTGGCGGGTCTTGAGCCCGTTACTGTACCCAGCTAACATTAAATCTTCGCCAGAGTTGGTTTTCCGCCGTCGTAAATGCGATGGCGGGGGGTACACTGTACCACAATAGTATATACTATATGTCCCCGCCATAGTGCAATTGTCGCAGTTTTGATGGCGGGGAATTCTGAACCTCTGTAGTAGAAACAAAATTTTCCCTGCCATAGTATAATTGTCGTACATACGACTTCGGAAATTCTGAACCACTATAGTATATATACAAAATTTTCCCCGCCATAGTACATCTATCGTATATACGACTTCGGAAATTCTGAACCGCTGTAGTATATACAAAATTTTCCCCGCCATAGTAATCTGTCGCAGATACGATAAATACACCGCTGTAGTAGTAAATCCGACAGAGTAGACTAAATTAACGATATCAGATATATTAACCGTTATTTCATGTACCGGCAAGGCTTCGAATAGATCAGTATTTGTCCATCCTCTCAAGGAGAAACATATGTAGAAACTTNCAGTGCAAGTGGGCTGCCCCAGCCGCTGAAGTTGAAAATCCGCGCATGGACAGTGATTGACTTTTTACATTGCAACACGCAACTGGCACGAATTGGAGACAAATTTGGCGGATTTTTTTGAGTTTTCAAGTCGGGCCTTGTGTCTTGTGTATACTGGAACCCAAAGGCTGGTGGCGCCCAACTCACAGAGCACGGGTTTTTTGCCACTGCTATTTATGATGTTGTCATACACTTGACAACAACTATGTGGGTTAGAGCGTTGGTGTGACTCACGACGGCGCCTCAACAGTGAGAGAGGGTTCCTGGTGTAAGGCTGGGATGTATACTCTCAACCTGTATTGAGCCTGAGTGGGTTACAAATGTTCATGCAAGGAATTGGATTCTTTGATAGATTCCTTTATAGGGAGATAGATTAAGAACAGTGATGGAAAGTCTGGACTTAGGCTCGATGTGGGATAGGGTGTCAGTGAGACTCATTAAGATACTTGAACAGTGAGAGAGGGTCCCTGCTGTAAGGCTGGGACGTATACTCTCGACCTGTATTGAGCCTGAGTGGGTTTCGATTGTCCGTGTGAGGAATTGGTTTCCCCGGTAGAGTGCGAGCCGAAAGGTTGGTGGATTGGAATTGGAATTGGAATTGGATTCCTGAATTGTGAAGAAAAATTTGGGTGCATTGAATTAAGAAACACTGTGATGGAGAGTTTTGGTTTAATTTATTTTTGACAGATGTGGGAGCCAGAATTTGCACACTGCTACCATTTAAAATTTTGCAGAAAGAATGGGGAGATCCAAGAAAATGCGCCCGAAATCAGCAAGTAGTGCATTTCTACTCAAGAAACGCTTAGCGTATACAGAGGTATATCTAAATGTGACTTTGCATGTATAATACTATTCTATAAACTGATTTCTTCAGAGTCCTCTCGTACGGGTCCTAGTCCTGTCCGCAACATGCCGACCCTACCTTCACTGATACTCTCTCCTTTTGTTAAAAGGAAAACAAAGGTATGTACCAGAAGGATTGACAGATTGCTTTATTGCGTGGTGGTGCATGGTTATAAGTTGGTGGAGTGGTTCAATCCAATAACAAATGAGAATAAACACTATTTCTTCAGGTTAAGCCTCCCACTGTTTTGAAGCCTGATAATTCCTCCAGTAGATCTTCTGTTCACCTGGCTCCAATACGCATGACAGAAAAGGTTTGTCAATGATAATTTGGTGGTTGGTGGTGCATGATAATAAGTTGGTGGAGAGGTTCAATCCGATAACGAATGAGAATAAACACTATTTCTTCAGGTTACGCTTCCCACTGCTTTCAAGCCTGGTAGCTCCTCCGGTAGTTCTTCTAGTCACCTAGCTTTGAAGAAGGTGAAGGTTAAAGCAGCAGAGAAGGAGAAGGCTGAGAAGGAGAAGAAGGACAGGATGTGGAAGGAGCTTCTTGAGCAGAAGAGGAGAGAGAGGAGAGAGAGGAAGGTGGGGAAGCAGATGGAGAAGCAGATGGAGAAGCAGCTGGAGGAAGAACAGGTTTGTCAATGATAATTTGGTGGGTGGTGGTGCATGGTTATAAGTTTGTGGAGTGGTTAATTCCGAAAACGAATGACAATAAACACTATTTCTTCAGGTTACGCCTCCCACTGCTTTGAAGCCTGGTAGTTCCTCCGGTAGTTCTTCTGGTCACCCAGCTCCTATAGGCATGACAGAAAAAGTTTGTCACTGATACTCTTTATGTGAATTATTTTCATGTGAATAAACACTACTTCTTCAGGATGCTTTGGAGACCTGTAGTTCTCCTGCTCACCCAGCTCCCAGAGGCATGACAGAAAAGGTTGGTCAATGATACTCTTTATGTGAATTATTTTCATGTGAATAAACACAAATTCTTCAGGATGCTTTGGAGACCTGTAGTTCTCCTGCACACCCAGCTCCCAGAGGCATGACAGAAAAGGTTGGTCAATGATACTCTTTATGTGAATTATTTTCATGTGAATAAACACTATTTCTTCAGAATGGTCCTGGTCTCAGGACTCGTCTCCTCCTTAAGCCATCCTATGTGTCAGGGAGAGGAAAGGTATGTTAATGTTAATCTTTATGTGAATTATTTTCATGTCAATAAACTCTATTTCTTCAGACTAAGGCCCCAGCCAGTCGTTGGGTTCCAACCCTCCTGCATACCCCTGACTTGACGACCCCACTGCCTCCTGCAAGAGAAACTCCTGTGAATAAGGGAGCTTTTGCACCGCCCTTTGTGCAGCAGCACACGCTGGTCAGTCCATATGGGGAAGTAGGGGCACCCCCTCTAAATTTAAATTGTCGTGTTGCTTTGAAAAATGTAATGCATAATGAAAAGCGTAAAGGCAATGTCATTGGGCCCAACGCCATGAATTTCGCTCCCTTTCTGGAAGATATCGATTCGCGGACGACCACACGCCCGTTTTCGGTTGTAGCGGGGGGTGGTAAGTCATTGCCTTATGACCCTCCAACGTTTCCTGCGGCTCTTAGTAAGGGGGAAAGGGAGAAAAACAGGGTTGGGGTTTTGGAAAAGAGAAAGAAGGACCGTATGGAAAGGGAGCTAGCTATGAAAGCAAAAGCTGATCGACTCGAAGAATCGCGGCGTTTCAAGGGTAGTCAGCCAGAGACTGTTGCACTGGGACTGTCACCCCACGGGCTGGAGTCTCAAGCTCTGACACCTACAGCTCATCTGGCAGCTATAAATTCAGCTCTATTTGGGTCTGAGTCTGAGGAGGAAGGCGAGGATCCTCCTCAGGTTCATCCTTCGGTAGAGAACAATTTATCTGTGATGGATGAGCTGTCGATGTCAGAGCTTGGTACTCCAGCACTTGTGGTGCCAGTTCTGGCTCAACATTCTCCGGTGTCGTCATCTGATATCTCGGCAGAAAATGTGTCAGAAGTCCCGCGATTTAGAGCTCGCTCGAGGGTGCAACCCTTAGATTCACAGATGGATTTTGATTCAAATGAAGTGGGGACAGTCTTAGCGATGCATCTTTTACCGAGTGGGAAATATCTTGCGGTCACAAGAGCTTCTGTACACATGTTATGTCGGATTTCAGAGGAATACAAGGCTGCTTTTGAAGCTTCACGCAGGGATATGAAAACTCTCCAGCGGAAGCTTAAGTCATGGGGGGTTGAGTTTGAAAATAAAATCGAGTGGACGCATGTACCAATTCCAAATGTAACCCTGGATGGTGCTCAGGCAGAAGTAGTGTGGCAGGATCGCAGTGTTGTAGAACTGTACCTACAAGAGTATTTGAGAAGGGTTGAAGGATTTGGGAAAGCCGATATTGAAGTGTTCCTTCAATACGATCTCGATTTTAGGGCTAATTTTTTGGCTTGGCTTCCGGTGGGGCCCCTGATTCCTAGAAATATACTTCGACGCCTTGAAATTATCTGTAGCCCTAAGTATACACCCAAAGCTGTTGCAAGCGAACTAAGGGAGCTATGGGCGTGGGGCCAGGAGGTCAACAGAACAACAGTTGACCGAACCTGCGATGAGCTCCCTAGATTCAAAGAATTGTGGCAAGGCTTTGTAACTAGCTCTGGGGGTGTACCGCAGGCTATAGAGACTTTCAGGTCTAGCATATGTGCTTGCCTTCGCAATAAGGATTAGAAGTATTATACTCAGTAAGCCAGTTCAGGCATTTACTTCTTGCCAGTTTATTTTTATCCTCTTAAAGGATTTAAAGGCAATTAAGCCAGTTCAGGCATTATAACCAATTCTAGATAGTTCTCAATTATATTAATAGCTAAGTAACTAAAATACCCTAAAAGTTGCTAAAGCTTTATATCGTTAAGTAAAACAAATAGCTCTGTGAGGCTACTTAAAGGATACTAACTCTTAATGACTAAAAAGATAAATAAGTATTTATTATCTAAGTATATTAAAAGCTAGAAATATCTCTAACAATACCACAGAGGTTGCGCTAGCTGCAATGGAGGTTATAACCATCTCATCCTCCGAGGATGACCCTAATGATCCTGGTGTATGGATTCCTGCTCAGTCTGATGCTGAAGTATCTGAGAGCTCTTTGGATGAAGGAGGGAATGATCTTGTTGAAGGAGAGACGGAGAGAGGTGAACCCCAGAAGGGGGATTACAGAGTAGACCCGGATGATGTCCCTCGCCTTGAGGATGAATCTGAAGAAGAGAATGAGGCTCTACCAGGGTTGGAGGCAGATGAATCCTCATCAATTGGAAATGAAGGGACCTTAGAGCAGATACAGCATCAACTTAGAGATCCAATTAAGATCATGGAACAGTTAGGGAACCTAAGGAAGTACCAGGCCGCCTCTTCAGCATAGTTAGTATTCCGCTGGAGTACAGGAAGTGGGGCTTGGGACCAAATACTGATCTCCTAAATATAAATATACAATTATTGATAAACTTGAAATAATATATGTGAACTAAGAGAGTTAAGTATTGCGTTTTAAATTCTGCTGTAGACCGAATCAAACTTGGGGTTTACAACATTACTGAATACCTAGAAATTCTTCCGATATTCAACTGCTGGTCAGCTTGAACATTTTGAGCTTGATCCTCTCCAACTTGATCATCTCTAACTTGATCATTTCTAAGCTGATAATCTTCAATATCATCCTCACAGTGCAGTTCCAGATCTAGATCAGACTCGCTATCAACAGCAGCATTATTACTTAGACCTAAATCAGTCCAAAAACACTCTAAACAGCCTGCTAGAACTTTAAACTCAGAGATAATCTCTGGATTGGTGCATCTCCACTGAGGCCTTAACACTGATACCAAGTTCCTACAGATCCAGGATAACCCATAAAGAGGAGAGTCTGAGGATATGAACCTGTGAAGTAGAGGGTTGACTGAGTGGGATTGATTCAAAGAACAATTGAACTCTAGGTTCTGAGCTTGAGTAATAATTATGTCCTGGATGAACTGCGATGCTTGGTAAGAGGACAAACTAATATCAGAGAGGAATTCTGACTTTGAAGGGATTAAAGTTGGCACAAATACTAGAAAGAATGTATAGAGAGCTCCCATGATAGTTGTTATGTCTCCTATGTTATAAACTGTATACTCCAGGATAACTCCTTATGACCTAGAGCCCAGTCTGGAGCACAACTTAACTTGAAATGCTTAAGGAGAAATCCTCCCAAAGTTTGATATCTAAAGTTTGCCAATCCCACAGATTTAGACCAGCCTCCCAATGATGTCCAGAGAACACAGGTGTCCAACCATTTACCAGTAAATTTCCAGGTGCTTCCATTTAACAGGGTCAATGCAAACTCTATTTGATCAATGTTTTCAGCCATATTGTTCCCCACAAACAAAAGTTTTTCCTGATTGAAAAACTCATTCAAACAGTCTGGAACTCCTTCTCCTTCCATAACCAGATTTTTATCAGGAGTCATTGGGATATTAATCTCAAGAAAGGTTCCAAAATTACCAAAATGTAACTTGGCAGGAACCATACCCTGTGCTTTAGCATGAGATCTATGACCTTCAACATCAAGATCACAATAAAAATCTAGCATCAGATAGAAAGCCTTAGCATTTAACAATAGTGCTTCATGGAACAGTTTCAGGATCTTCCCCATCTTATCAACATCAGTTTAACCAATGGTAATACTAAATATACTTCCTAGCTCATCCAGATCTTTTAGATCAACCAGGCTAGGACTTCTGCTAACAGATAATAACTTGAACATATTCTTAAACTCCTCACTCCAAGAATCCTCGGTACTGCTTAGTTTTATCTTAACTGAATCCAGAAAAGGTAATCCCTCTACCAAGGTTTCTTCTTCTGCTCCGGGAGGCATTGATAGCCAGGGGCTGTTTAACACGCAGCCTCCCACTGGAGAGTCAGTTTTTGCAATGATGCTGACTTGAAGAAGAGGTGCTGCTGGATGTCATGCTGCTCATGGGATGGAGGGAGCTGGAGCCACTGGAGAGGATATAGTTCATAAAGGTACAGGAATCAGCCATTTGTTTGGTCCTTGAGGATATCACACTTTGTCAGATTGAGCTGAACATTTTTTTCACCAGAGGGACATAAATTTTGGGTGTGCATGCCAAAATTTGGAAAGATTCATCAAAAAATGTGATGGTGGTGGAAGGACCACCCTCAATGACTTGCCATTTTGAGTTGTTTGGTCCTAATCTTAGTCTGAAAATGCCTAACCTCACATAACCCAAGTGAATTTTGGATGGTCCTGTGAAGGGAACCAGTAGAGACCAACTAAAGCTGATACTTGATCAGGGTGGGAAAGGCCCTGTCTGGGTGTTTGGCGGCAATTGGCGGCAATTCCTTAGGGTGGAGGATGAATGAATTGAGTGGAGGACTACACAAGAGTCAGTGGGTGGTGGGTATAATGGGTGGCACACCATACAGTGAGCAGGTGGGTGGTGGATACAGGGAGGTGGTGGTATTTAGGTGGGTGGAGAATGACAAGCTGGGTGGAGAAATCAAGGTGGGTGGAGAAATCAAGGTGGGTGGAGAATTCAAGGTGGGTGGAGAATATCAAGGTGGGTGGAGAATATCAATGTGGGTGGAGCATATCAAGGTGGGTGGAGAATATCAAGGTGGGTGGAGAATATC